CGGCGATGCCTGAGCGGCTTGCAGCTGCTGGGCCTCGCCGATCTTCTTCCCCTTCCCCCCCCGGCTCCGGCGGTCTCCTCCGCAACTGCTGCTGATCTTCTCCTCCCTGCCCCTGTTCCTGCGGTGAGGCCTGAGCGGCTTCCAACCGCCAGCCCGCCGCAGTTCCCAAAGCGTTCCCTGCGCATGTGCAGGGAAGGCTCTTTTACTTTTTGGGGGGATTTAAATATCGCGCCCCCCCCTTTTCCCCAGCTTTTTAGATTTTTGTGCACACCTGGGGACTGCCCCAAGTGTGCAGGAAAATCTCCCTACCTCCCAGGTGCCCCCGATGTGCGGATTTAGATATCTGCATGCAGGGGACGTCTTTGCTATTAGATATATAGATACTAATATTACATCATGTCAGTGACTGTGAAATGTACTACAAGTCATTCAGAACGTGAAGTACAAATGGTACGAAAACAACACAAAAGCCTAAAAAAGCTGTAGTGGCAGATATAGAGCCATGCAATATAGTGCATAGAGTGCTGGGCAAGGATCTGGGGGACTCAGGTTCAAATCCCCTCTCTGGAGATCTGAGAGACTCAGGTTCAAATCCTCACTCTTCCATGGAAACTCACTGGCTTATCTTGGGCAAGTCATTCTCATTCAGACTAATCCTACCTCCCGGGGCTGTTATGAGGATGAAACTGAAGAGAGAAGAATGATGCTGTAAGCCATCTTGGATCCCCTTTGAGGCAGCCCCGTAGCTAGCAACATTTTGCTGGGGAGCCCAATTTTTTGCTCAGGGGGCCAGCCATTATATGTCTGTATGGAGCTATGCACATTTTTTCCTCCCTGCCCCGGCCTGTGCTGGTTCAGATGGGGCTGATTGACTAACTGCAAACCAGTGTACTTCAGAACCGTGGAGTGCACAGCTGGAATCCTGTGCCTTGTCTCACGCAATGACTTCCCTGCGATCCCATGCAGCCCCCGTTTCACTGACAGGCATGTAGCTACTGTGGAACTCAGGGGGAGGAGAAACCAAGGCTCAGTTTGGGGGCCCTGGAAGAAACGTTAGGGGGTCGGGCCCCACGGGCCCCACGTTAGCTACGGGCCTGCTTTGAGGAGGAAAAGTAAAGGTAAAGGTTCCCTTGCTCGAAAGCCAGTCGAATCCGATTCTAGGGTTGCGGTGCTCATCTCCATTTCAAAGCCGAAGAGCCAACGCTGTCCGAAGACGTTTCCGTGGTCATGTGGCCGGCATGACTAAACACCAAGGCACACGGAACGCGCACGGAAAGAGGGGCATAAATATCTAAATAAAGTAATATGTACAATAAAAAAGCTGAAGGGCTTCGTGTATTGAGGAAAGGCTTCTTGTGCTAGAGAAATATACTGATGTTAGCAAAGGGGAGAGGTAGATACAGCCCATTAATTTTGTGAGCTGATACTGGCCATTTTCTTTTCAGTCCCTTTTCCAACAAATACTAACATGGGTTTTGCTTTTCTGACTGCCACTGCAGCGTTGATGCTTTCATTTATTCCACCATGACCCCAAGATCTATTTTCTGGGTAGTCACCGCCACTTTCAGTCTCTGTCAGCATTTGTTTTGAAGGTATATAATTTTTTTCACCAATATGCACTACTTTGCAGTCACATACATTAAAACGTTACATTTTGTTTCCCCTGCACCCAGTTCAGAGATATATTTTTAGAGCCCTTCATGTTTTGCTTTGGATTTCATTGTTGCATATTATTTGGTGTCATTTTCTTAACAATTTCACTGCTTTCTGTTGAGTCTGGATGAATCGTGAATCTTAAATAACACTGATCCCAGTATAAACCCATGGGGAAGGGGACCCGATCTCCTGCTTTCCTTTAGTGTTGCCCATTTAGACCTATCTTCCATTTCTTGATCCTGTTCTTTAATCAGTGATGTTATAACTCACCTTCATAAATCTGTTGGCATGTAGCCAGCCAATCCATTCTGTCAGTCCCTCTGATAGAACTGCATTTCTTTTTGTAGAAGAGGGGGACAGCATGTTGGGCTGATCCAGCGAGCCAGTGTGGTGTAGTGGTTAAGAATGTCAGGCTAATATCTGGGAGACCCAGGTTCAAATCCCCACTCATGCCATGGAAGCTTGCTGGGTGACCTTGGGCCAATCACATTCTCTCAGCCTAACTTACCTCACAGGATTGTTGTGAGGGTAAAACAGTGGAGAGGAGAATGATATAAGCCGCTTTGGGCCCTCATTGACAAAGGTGGGGGGGGGCAAACTAAATAACTTCTCCCCTCCCACTCTGTAAGGTATGTCTGTGTCATTATCTTTGTATTAGGGGCAGACTGTCAAGATAGTCATAAGGACGACTGAAAGAATGGACGTGAGGTGCTTTGACCATTCCAAAACACTCTTTTTAGTCTGCGTTGTTGTTATTTTGCTGCCAAAATAAATGGGAGCAAGTTGTCAGTTAACTTCGTTTTCAAGCACATGTTGATTATTATGTATCAGGGGAATATAATTTGTCTTTGTAGATGTGTGGATTTACGTAATCCAGATTTAATTTTAGTCATTAATAAACTGTTTCTCCACAGCGCTTTTTTGTCCTGGATAACGGAATGTTGAAATACTCAAAATCGCCAATTGACGTAAGTAAACCTGAAGCTGTTTTCAAAGTTGGTCTTGCCATTCTGTTGTTACTTAAAGACTTAACTCGCAGTAACAGTAAACACTAGGGGCCAAAGTAGACAACGATGTAGGAGATACATAATGATGGATCTCCTTTTTAACTTCAAGAACAGATAACTGGAGCTGCTAATTTGATTGGGGAAGTAAGGGAGGAGAGGTGTTCAACCTTTTTCTTACGCACCTTTTTACCCAAGTATTCAGATCTTGACTTCACTCGGTACATAGCCACTATTTGTGGTTGCCACCAGCCCCTCACTTCCCTCGAGCGCTGTGCCCCACACAGATAACTTGGGGGGAAAGACAAGGTCTGGACCTTCCTAGATGACTCACTCTCACTTTGCACCAGGTGTTGGGGGAAAGTCAGAGTGATCATTTCCAAAAGCCCGGAGCACAGAAAGCTCAAGGGAGGTGACATCTCATTTGGGCTTTGGGAAAGAGAGGATCAGCATAGGGTTTTTCTTTTCTGCGGCTTCTTTAAAGACCACTGCCCAGTGCAGGAAGATTGTCTCCCTCACCTGAGTTTTCTGCAGTGTGCACGGAGATAAAGGAATGGGGATCTTTGTGCTAGATGCCAGGGAAAGGAGAAGTTGCCAAAAGGGAGGTCTCTCATCAGTGTTCCCTCTAAGCTGAGTTAGTGTGAGCTGGCTCACAGTTTTTTAGCCTCTGGCTCACACATTTTTGTCTCAGCTTAGGAAGGATGGCTCCAGAGCAGACTAATTTATGCAGTAGCCAAATTGCTCACTCACAACTTTAATGGCAGTGGTTCACAAAGTAGAATTTTTGCTCACAAGACTCCACAGCTTAGAGGGAGCATTGGCTCTCATGATCTTTGGTGACTTGAATTTGTGGACCTCAAAGATTTGGGTAGCTTTGAAGATAACCCAGTGTCGACAGCAGCTTTCCAGCTGTTCTAACAAAAGACTTTTGTTAGACCCTGCAGAACAAAAGGAGAATTTCACTTTAGTTCCCCCTTGGTGCACACCCACAAAAACATCAGCGAGCAGTAAACGCCTAGCGCAGATAAAGCACGGGAAAAGAAACTCACAGAAATGGGGGGAAAATAATAATGTTTTTGGCCTGGGGGTTATGATCTCAAAATGGGTGTCTTCTTCTGTGAAAGATCCTTTGGGGTGCCCTGTTTGGAAATCTCATGGGAAAGTGGAGAGAATGTCTGATAATCAGAAGAAACTGTCTATTCCTGATGAACACATTCCTAAATGAATAAGCTGATTGGACAGCTCCAGTTAACTGACTGGGCCACCCTCTTGAATATGAATTCTTTCCACTTTTCCTTGTTCATCCATAACTGTGGTTCAGGCTTACATTGGCTTCAGCCTTAACCATCATTAACATTAATCATGGCTGACTCTTAGCCAGGACTTAGAGCAGTCTTCACATTACAGGTTTATGCTGTGGTTAACAGTGATTCCCAGCTACGTTAACCATGGTTACGTTCCATGCTGATGGGATTATTTACACAAGAAAAGGCAGGGCTGGGTGGAGTTTGCAATCCAGCAACAGCTGCTGATCTCTTAAGGCAATCTCCTGTAGAGATCAGGTATGTTACTTTTTCACCGCTCTCTGGGAATCTATGGAAACCTTTGTTTAAAGGAGCGTGGAGTTGCCCAGCAGGTGGCTTTTGTGGGGCAAGGGCCATACCTGACCATTCCTGCAATATTTCTAGGATCTCTTGTGTTCTGGGATCGAAGCTCTCCATTCCTGTGTGAAAATAAGTGCACACCTGATGTTTCCAGTGGCCTACAGTGGAATGACTAATGCAAGTGATTATATAGACTCCCAATAGATATCTGTGATCATATTATACACATTTGTTCCATGTGTTGGATATAATGTACATCAAGTGGACATCAGATCTTCTCTACTCGATTCTTTGAATTTAATTTGATCACGAACATTCGTATTATAAGTAGCCTTCAGCTGGAAAAAAAGGATCACCTATTGGAAATGATATATACTGGAGAGCTGATGTACACTTGTATTCTCCGTGAGAAAATATAATTAATTACTGAAATAATGTTGCTTGCTCATATAACAAGCAAGCCGTAATCTGAAAATGTATTTGTTCAGTTATCAAAGCTATGTATTATACACACCTTCTGTCTTGTCTGTCTCTTTTCTCTCTTTC